TGGCGCGACCGCCGCCATCTTTGTCTCGTTAAGTATGAAAGCGAATGGACTGGCGTACCCGTAGCCTCGAGACATTAAGATACGCCTGGCGTACCTCCAGCCACTGCCTAAATAATAATAATATCGTGTAATTAAAAAAACAGCCATGAAAGTTTTGGAATCTGTTATAATTTATTGCAAGACTAATAAGTTTGACGTGGCAATAGTTATTACCAGGTTACCTTTTCATTGTCGTTATATTTTGTGGCTAATACACTAGATGATAGCAATGCCAACAAGGCAATAACATACGAGGCGGCCATCTTGTTAAAAACAAGGGAACACCATATAGATCTTTTTACGGCGTTATACATCCGCGTATCTTTAAATATTTTCAAACAAATTTCTTCAAGAATGTAGCCCTTATTATGATTAAAACTTATAGGTCCGGGTATATACTATCTCTCCGATGGTGTAATAACCCAGGGAAATATTATTTAACCGCGTAAATGTTAGAGTTGCTCGGTCTACTTTCTTTGTTACAATTATGGTCGGTGTGCTTCGGTTTACTAATCCTCTTTTCGTCATGTTCGTTGATCGCAAAAGCATCGCATTTTGCAAAACAAAGTCAATGATGTAGAGTTCATCTACACGTGTCGTCGTCACCCTGGACAGTGCACATCAACAAAGAATCATAGAGACGGTTTCGCAACAGAAAGAGAGGTATGTGTTCCGTAAGTGTTTACATGGCTCCCCATCGTACCTCTCATTATCGATGGGTTATGGATATGGGTTTGCATTCATGGTGCCAAATTTATTAGTGACACGCGATGATACTGATAGCCCTGTACAAGCTAACTAACTTACACTAAAATTGGATGCTAGCTGATAGACTTCCCCCCGCTGATTCAGAATTATAAAATTAAGAAAAACAAAGAAAATGGGGTATTAATTAATTTGCATGAACATCGGTGTTATGCGGTTCCGAAAGATACTTAGACTTAGAGAGTATTACTATTAGTATTATTAGTATTATAATTAAGTATTACTATTTACTTACACCCTTTACACACCTAGCAATGCATTGCTCAGTGGTGTACGGATTTTAGTATATTACGGCACGTATTCGTGCGACCTGTGGCAGATAGAGTCACATGTACATTGTTGCGTGATATATAAAATCAAAAATGTGTGACAAAATATTTGAAAGCGACATGCATTTTGAAATGATGCAGAACTACTGTTTGCATGATGTTACACTCAAATGACTCATAGGAGGGTGCATAGTTTTATTGTAAATTTTAATTTCAGCATAATTGATTAACAATAATAACATGTAAGGTACATTTGGACTAATAGATCTGTAGATATTAGATACTTTAGTTAATACTAGATGAATAAGCAAGTATTACTTAGGTTGGAAGGTAGATATGTGGGTAGTAACTTAAAGTGTAACAGTAGCCTAACTTCAGCAGTACTTGCAGTTAAGTTTGGGTTTATATATATATTCATAGTATTAGATGGCGTCATTCCATCCATGGGTTTTATTCAGTGATAGGAATTCATGCCTGTCATCTTGCAAAATTTATGCGTGTAATACTCAATTTGGACCTCATAGCATGATATCATGATTGTGATAATAAAATTTTTTATTATTTCGAACACTGCATTCAGTGAAATCAGGCATTTAATGCCTTCCTATACTGAGCAGGGTACCCATCGTATGAAATCACCCATTATTTATGCCTTATTTTAAATTGTTTAGGTAAATAAAAACATTTATTATAAGCTATGTGTCTAGTCTATGCAAAAAGGTGCTGTGAAAGCACAGTATTATAAGTATAATCTGATTACTGCTGGACATAGCACAAAAACACTTGTCTTTCGTTAATGTTTTATTATCAAAATTGGCACGAATAGACCCTAAACTAAAGTAAATACGGCTGAGGGTTGAAATAGTATAATCTTTTAAGCAGGTAGCAGAACAGACATGATATAGGCAGGTTTAGAGTGCAGTCCAAAAGTTATCATCTATGGTAAGTGTGTGTGTGTGCACGCTGGTGTGCATGTGTCTATGTTTTGAAGCTAGACTGTAATTTATAGTTTAAGTAGTTTGAATTTACTTGGGATTGCTTTAAAGGAATTAGGCCTTAACTTGTGACCTGCTTAAAAATTAAATTATTGCCGTAATGTATTTTGAGTAAATATGAACAAATATATATGCCAAAACAAGAATGTATTTCAAAGTTATTTCAAGCAAATTTAGCTACATAGTACTTAAGTATAGAATCAATTATGACTACTGTTGTCATGGCATGAAGTATGTACATATATTAAAGAAAACCTTACAGTGGTCACCAGAAGAATGGATTAAAATCGGATAGTGTTCACATTTTCTAAAACTGTTTGCTGATGTCGTTTTTTTTGTATTTTCAACTACAAAAATTAATTGCAATATGTCCTTTTGGTATTTATAATAATTAAGTTCTGGTTTAGTGTTGTGTTATTTCTGGTTTTTATGATGTGGTTTACGTATTTCGTTATGGCTGGAGCCTGAAAACATTTTTTTTTAATTAATTATAATTAAATTAATAAAGCCAGTGATTATTATCACCAATCGTTCTAACGAGAGAATGTCTTTCTTACATTGTAGCCTATTGATCTACAGGATATATATGTAAAAGATTAATTTTCTTTGAAGTTTTGTTGCTATTGTGGATGTTCATTTTGAAGTGTAATTGAACTACCTACACGTATTATGCAAATTGTTTCCACAGTTAGGCATCTTTTTTTTAACAATGTCATTCATTTTATACTATCATTTATGTCTAGTCTGGTTAGGTGTGTGATTTTCCATTTTTAGTAAAAGATATGAACTGACCAATAATCCTGCATAAATTGCTAGACTAACCTAGTTGAGATGTAGCTTTTGGAACTGAATTTCCGTGATTATAAATTTTGGTTGTGCGTTAACGATGCTTATGTAGTCGATTGCTATGCAACGTGTGTAATTTGAACGTTTATGGGTACAGGCTGCAGAGAGATCTGGCCATCCATATTTTGTTTGGTTGGTATAAGATATGGACTTCCACTCAGCAATGGAAACATTCGCAGAGGCTTGGGTGGCAGCTAACACACAAACGGCATTGACCACTGAATCACAACCACAGGTTGGTGTCTATGTGTAACGTTCATTTACAAATGAACATTTAAGCAATTGAAATTGACCAGAACTGCGTGTAATACCAGAGTATGTAACATTAACATGTGAGGTCTTACAACATGATATATAGAAAACAGTAACTGCTTATTAATATTTTTTCTGATCCAATTATATATATATATAAAGAAATGTAACTGTATTGTAACTTAGTTGTTCCTGGCAGTTACATAAATGTTCTGGTAGTGCTTAAAGGCATAATTCGACCATTGATTATGCAATTTTAACGAATGCTACAGTAACTGGCACCTTGTGTAGTTAATAAGTACATTACCTTATAGCCAAACGCGTATTAGTTTGTCCAATATCACTGCTGGTTACTAAGAAATGTCTAATTGAAATCCGCAGTCCAAGAAATCGGTTGTTGACAGTTAGAAACCGTCATGCCGGCTGTAACCGGTCGTAACTGGCGAGGCGGTGTCATACAGATTATAGTGCACCGGACATTTTCGCACGTATGCTCGGCCGTCAGTGATTTCGATCCTTGTAGTCTGAGTGCGCATTCCGTACGTTATGGTTTTACTCTTGGGATTCGGGAATAAATGAATATACGTTCTTGAGATTACAAGCAACATATAATATGTGGCAACTAGGCAAATAATAACACTAGGCAAACAATTTACCCGGGACAAACAATTCGATGCTCAACATCTTGTAGCAACATGTGACGTCACCGAACCGAACTCGATGTTTATTTTGTTGGCCATAAATTTCGCGTTGTCGCCAGATTACCAAATTTACGGATTTCAATTAGACATTTCTTAGTAATTAGCAGTGATATTGGACAAACTAATACGCGTTTGGCTATAAGGTAATGTACTTATTAACTACACAAGGTGCCAGTTACTGTAGCATTCGTCAACTTTGCATAATCGATGGTCGAATTATGCCTTTAATCATCATTCACAACATTTCAAACACATTTTACTGTAAGTTGCAAGTATTCACTGTCACCTCTATCATTTATAATCCCCAATGGAAGGAAATAAATGTACACCAATTGTGATTGGTGTTGTTTGAACTTGTTTCTGAGCTGTGATAACAGGCATTTTCTACATTTAAGATATCTGAGATCTGTCTTGGTTCCATTTGAAAAATTAAGAAAATTTTTATTTCCGCTGTGAAATACCTCATTCTTGCTTTCCATGTCCAAGATCTTAATTATTCTTTTTTTTTCCATTTTCAGTAACCTACATTATTCTAAATCTGTGTTATTAAACTTAGGAAGGTTTTTTCATTTTATTTTGGGTTAATCAGATCCTTTCAAATATCTATATCTACAATTCATAATGCAGTGTTTCCCCTGCGTTGACACAAGCAAGGCGGGCTCAAATCCTCAGCCGCTACACAGAAATTTGTCCAAAACACCGCATCGCTGACGAAAATCACTGTTCTTCCATCAATAAACTACACTTTAAATTGAACTAAAATTTTGAATAAGAAAATTTGAAATAAAGCTTAGAATGCACCAATTTGCACAATTTTTTCCAAAAATTTCCCCGGACCCCCTTAGCTGGGCTCGCTTTGCTAGCACTTCGAAATGCAAATGCACAAAAAAAATTCCCCATCAGACCTTTTTGGCCAGGGGAAACACTGATAATGTTCTAAATTTTGTTTGTTTTGTTCGTGTTACATTTGTTATCATTCTTAATGTTTATCCTCACATTATAATGTATAATTCTATTTGTTGTTCACACAGTAAATGTTATCCCTAATTTCTATGTCCTGTATCTTTTATTATTTTTAATTACTGTCTTCCTAGTTTAGAATTTGTTTTTTTGTTTTTTTTTGTTTTACACAAAGGAGATTAAATTGTTCAAATTACAAATACTTAGAAGTAATCTTAGTTACAAAGATTCAGGTGCTTACTATGGGCAATAACTTGCATGGGTTCTCGCATGGGTATTCCTATATCGTCCTGTATGGCTTTGCTTTGCGCAACTGGTTTACTGTTGCCGGGTCTTGATCTGCTAAACAGTAGGTACAGAAGAACACTAGAGCACACCCTCTTGGTATTAAGGGACAGCCAGCACACTACATAGTGTTGCTAGTAGTGTGGTGATAATGAGCGAGTCTAGTCTACAGGAGAGTTACCTGCTTAGTGCCTATCATGTGATGCTGATGTGACAGAGATAGCATCAGTAAAAGATGTCATCGTATGAACTTGTTCCGGCCAGCTAGTATTGTTCAATATCATGTCTCTTCTCTTGCGGTATGTCAAATGTGCACTAATTTGTACTGGAAAATTAACTCATTTTGAAAAGTTGAAAGTGGATTATTAAAGGTTTTTGGTCTAAGTGGTGTCTAATCAATGATGTGAGTAAATCTGGCCTTTGTCAACATTATATTATATGTTTAGATCAGAATTTAGATAGTCATGTATTCCTCTGCGTTTATATTGTTCAAATGTGAAACCACACAATTTACATTTTCTCCATTTCTGTGCATGCTCACGTGTGCGTGTGTGTATGTATACATACGTTAAAAAGAATGCTTTCATGTCTAGTCACCTCTTTCCGTTACACTGTGCTGTTCTTCTATTATATGTTGCATTTTTATCATCTGTACTTGTTGTATCTCGGTGAAAGGAATTAGTCTGGGGGGAGGTCTATTTCGGAGCTAGCAACCCTCATCACTGCTGCCCGTAATTTCTGTGTACATGTACTTTGGGTTTGGGGGAAGCAGAGTGACAACCCATACGTATACATTAAACAGGTCTATATATAATTTGTTATGTTGCTGTATTGTTGTAAAATGCTTTTATCAATTCTTCATCGTACAAATTGTAAATAACAGGGCATATCGACACATTTTTGCACGAGTTTTTATTGTGTCAAACCAAAGCAGCGCGATTGAGAATAACTCAGAAGGATTTTAAAACGTGTTTTTGCTGGTAAAATTTCCCATTATATCATCTATAAACGTAATTCATGCAGTCTTTCTAGTGTGATGATTAGTGTGATAGCAGAAGATACCTGCACCGGTGTATAGAGTTCACATACGCAGAGGGCATTTCTGATCACATTAATTTGTATCTTTGGGTTGTAGCAGCAGATATTCGCACCTCCATACCCGAGACTGACAGACTTGAGCATGAATCGTCTACCGTTACCTCCGTCATCGCAGGAGACAGTAATGCAGCACCCGCAGATGGGTGAAGTTCTACGTTGCCCAATCCCTGATGCCCACAAACAGCTGGTGGTAGCTGGCTCGGCTCCGGGCAAAGAAGCAGGTAGGATTTGATGTTGTTCAATGTTCGAGGCAGTTTTAGTAATGTTGATTTGACTGTGGCATGAAGTATATTTAAATGTTAACTAATTAAACACAATAATGCAAATATTAACGAACTTATTATTAGCATTGAATGGAAGAATGTATTCAGTGCCTGTTCTTTCTGCATGTTTGGTAATGTGTCTGTGTATTATTATATTATGTTTGAATAGCAGATTTGTTCAAGTTTCTAGTTATGTTTGTCTTGCAATTAATCTTCACACAGAGATCGTGAACACATGTGCATGCGTGCGTGTGTGCGTGCGTGCATCATGAGTCGAAATCACACATTTCCACCATTCTGGCACCAGCAGTTTTGCCATCAGAAAAGTATATATATACTAACTATGCACTTCTGTATTGGAAAATTTGGAAAAGAAAATGTTTCATTATCACCTATTCACTTCAAGTATTTGGAAGTTACGCTATCTAACCTGGCAAAGGGTGTCCATTGGTGCAGAAAAGCACATGCATCTGTGCCTGTTATTACCTGTTACTCACCTTGCTAATGATTTCATCTGAAAAAAACCCGCAAACATTTGCTGGAAAATAATTCCAGTTGTCACTTTTCTGAACGAAGAGTATTTTTTCATAATTTTGTCCCCGAGTGCATGCACATACGCGTATATGTCCGATATAGATGAATTTCAAGCTGGCATGGTTTTCATATTTATTGCAAGCAGTTCGGTTTTTAGCTCATCTGACGTAGTCAGGTGCAGCTTGTAGAATCGCATGATCGTCCGTCCGGCCGTCCGTCCGTCAACAGTTGGGCACAAATCTTAACCGCTCGACGTACAGTCACGATATTCGGGACGTGGGGGGGTAATCCGAAAACGAGTTGGGATGTCGAAGCTGGGGGGTTAAAGGTCAAAGGTCAAGAGGTGTAAAAGAAGGGGGAACATTCA